GGCTAACTAAAGCCAACTTCATTACATTTACATTTTAGTCATTTAGCAGACGCTCTTATCCAGAGCTTCATAAAATTGCTAAGTGGCTAGTAGTATTACAGAGAAAAAACAAACTAAAAAAATTATCTCTCTCTTTCTATATATATATATATCTACAGTACCAGTCAAAAGTTTGGACACACCTACTCATTCCAGGGTTTTTCTTTATTTTTACTATTTTCTACATTGTAGAATAATAGTGAAGACATCAAAACTATGAAATAACATATGGAATCATGTAGTAACCAGAGAAGTGTTAAACAAATCAAAATATATTTTATATTTGAGATTCTTCAAATAGCCACCTTTTGCCTTGATGACAGCTTTGCACACTCTTGGCATTCTCTCAACCAGCTTCATGAGGTAGTCACCTGGAATGCATTTAAATTAAAAGGTGTGCCTTGTTAAAAGTTAATTTGTGGAATTTCTTTCCTTCTTAATGCGTTTGAGCCAATCAGTTGTGTTGTGACAAGGTAGGGGGTTATACAGAAGATAGCCCTATTTGGACCAAGTCCATATTATGGCAAGAACAGCTCAAATAAGCAAAGAGAAACGACAGTCCATCATTACTTTAAGACATGAAGATCAGTCAATACGGAACATTTCAAGAACTTTGAAAGTTTCTTCAAGTGCAGTCGCAACAACCATCAAGCACTATTATGAAATTGGCTCTCATGAGGACCACCACAGGAATGGAAGACCCAGAGTTACCTCTGCTGCAGAGGATAAGTTCGTTAGAGTTACCTGCCTCAGAAATTGCAGCCCAAATAAATGCTTCACAGAGTTCAAGTGACAGACACATCTCAACATCAACTGTTCAGAGGGGACTGTGTGAATTTACATGTTAATTATTATTTTTTTGTCATTTAGTAGACGCTCTTATCCAGAGCAATTTACAGTTAGTGAGTGCATAATTTTATTTTTTTTTTTCATGGCCTTCATGGTCGAATTGTTGCAAAGAAACCACTACTAAAGGACACCAATAAGAAGAAGAGACCTGCTTGGGCCAAGAAACACAAGCAATGCTCCAGTGCTCCTGAATAGCGCAGTGGTCTAAGGCACTGCATCGCAGTGCTAATTGTGCTACTAGAGATCCTGGTTCGAATCCAGGCTCTGTCGCAGCCGGCCGCGACCGGGAGACTCATGGGCGGCGCACAATTGGCCCAGCGTTGTCCAGGGTAGGGGAGGGAATGGCTGGCAGGGATGTAGCTCAGTTGATAGAGCATGGCGTTTGCAATGCCAGGGTTGTGGGTTCGATTCCCACGGGGGGGCAGTATAAAGAAAATATGAATTCACTAACTGTAAGTCGCTCTGGATAAGAGCGTCTGCTAAATGACTAAAATGTAAATGTAATTAGACGGGTGGAAATGTGTCCTTTGGTCTGGAGTCCAAATTTGACATTTTTGGTTCCAACCACTGTGTCTTTGTGAGACGTGGTGTGGGTGAACGGATGATCTCCGCATGTGTATTTCCCACCGAAAAGCATGGAGGAGGAGGTGTTATCGTGTGGGGGTGCTTTGCTGGTGACACTGTCTGTGATTTATTTAGAATTCAAGGTGATTTATTTAGAATTCAAGGCACACTTAACCAGCATGGCTACCACAGCATTCTACAGCGATACGCCATCCCATCTGGTTTGGGCTTAGTGGGACTTTCATTTGTTTTTCAACAGGACAATGACCCAACACACCTCCAGGCTGTGTAAGGGCTATTTGACCAAGAAGGAGAGTGATGGAGTGCTGCATCAGATGACCTGGCCTCCACAATTCCCTGACCTCAACCCAGTTGAGATGGTTTGGGATGAGTCGGACCGCAGAGTGAAGGAAAAGCAGCCAACAAGTGCACAGTATATGTGGGAACTCCTTCAAGACTGTTGGAAAAGCATTCCAGGTGAAGCTGGTTGAGAGAATGCCAAGAGTGTGCAAGGCTGTCATCAAGGCAAAGGGTGGCTATTTGAAGAACCTCAAATATAAAATATATTTGGATTTGTTTAACACTTTTTTGTATACCTGATTCCATATGTGTTGTTTCATAGTTTTGATGTCTTCACTATTATTCTACAATGTAAAAAATAGAAACAAATTAAGAAAAACCCTTGAATGAGTAGGTGTGTCCAAACTTTTGACTGGTAATGTATGTTTTTTTTTACAGGATAAATCTGAGGGGCCACGTGCCATTGCGCCCCCTATGGGCATGATGCCTCTGGCCAGGGCCCCTAGGGGTCCTCAGGTTAATAACCACTACTAGACTGATATCCCCATATGAATCCAAACTGTTCCCTGATCTTAATACATTATAATCTTATAATGTGTCTAAAGGTCGTTTTTCGGGAACAAAAAAGTAGTCCTTCAGAGTGAATGACAAGAAGGCGCAGCCCGCCGGACTTTGACAAAACCACAACAGGAAACTTTCCTTTCACTGCTTGTGCGCACTCGGTCAGCTGACACACTCGAAGTCATGTGATTTCATTTCTGTAGGCAGCGAGAGAGACACACAAGTCGCTGGTCAATATATTGCAGCGTTTGAAACAAAGTATCTAGTAGTTGTATTTTCACCCCGGGCACGTCCAACATGGCTTGGACGAAGTATCAACTCTTTCTTGCGGGTCTTATGCTCACAACCGGCTCTATCAACACGCTATCGGCAAAGTAAGTGAACGCTTCATTCATGTTGTCAATTGATTTCACGGTCTTTACAATGGCTTATGTCATAGACCAGTGGTCATCGACTGGTCGCGATCGATCGCCAAGCCATTCAGAGTAGCTCACCAAACATTTCTATAAAAAACCCAACGATAAAGCCTTGGGTCCCTAATTGTTTTATTCGTTTCGCGATGTTGGTGGTAGGTGCACTTGATTCAGCAGTCCTAGCGCCGGGAAGGCAAAGTGTTCCCATTTTGAACCATTTAATGTGTCTGAAGATAGAACTCTGCTTACCCGGCAGGCCCAGAGAGCAAATCAAGTGCACTTATATGTCTACCGCTGGCCAATCCGATAGCTCAGATCACTGTCTGCGCAGTTTCCTCGCGCCATAGACTGTAAAAACAAACCTCAAACGCACAGCAAAGTTGATAATGTGAGATTTCAAAACTTTAAAACCATGACTAGTGAAAGATTCGAAGAATACAGCAAAGAGCTGCTGTTTATATGAGTAAGTTCATGTTTAAGTTGTTTAATCAGAACTGTCAAGACTTTGTTCAACAGTTTTACAAGCCATAAAATGCGCGTTACCAGCACTGCAGCTGTAATGAATGAGTATAACAAAGTGTTTAGATAATCTTGCGTTGTTATTATTTGCGGTTTGTGTGTTTGTTAATATCGAGGAGTATTTCACTTTTTCTGGTCAAAGGAGTAACAACATGAATTGGTGCATGAGGCAGAAATAATGCAGGGCGATTTAAGTGTCGCCATCAGCTGGAAGACTGTCACCTTTTCTCAGTGCAGGTAGAGAGAGTCGCTCCCCTCAGACTGATCATCAGATGCAGGCCATCAGTCCAGTAAAATGTTTTTAAAAAAAATTAAAAAAGATTTATTATGCTCACTCAGCTGTGCCTCACAGGTAATACAACAAATTATATATTACCAATGTGATCATATACCTACAGTTTTGAAATCTAATTTCAAAATGGTATGAGAAGAACAACATTGGCAGGGCAATTCAAGTTTAGGCCATTTTTTTTTTTTTTACGTAAGCCTATGCAACATTAACCAATTAAAAACAGTTCTGTAACAGTAAGGTCACTTGATAATGTATTGAGCCTATAGCCTCCTGCACAAACCTCATTGTTATGAGACGGTTTTTAATTGGTTAATGTTGCATAGGCTTACGTTTTTAAAGTCAAGTTTAAAAAAATAAATAATCTGACTGGTAGATCTCGGCTTGCATTTTGACTCAGTGATCTTGACTCAGAAAAGGTTGGTGACCACTGTCCCAGACATCAAGATTTGGGCTACAATGTTTCTCATGTTTATTGCACTGTTAAATACTCGTGAACTGAGTTATTGTGCCTCAATCTATTTGTATATTTTACAGTAGGCTAAATTAGGCGAGGCTACTTGACATTGTATCATACTTTGGGGGAAAAGCTAGATTTCCATGATGCCGGCCTTGTAGGCCTAAATACCTGTTTAAATTGCTTTGTCCAGCAACGAGCCAATCTGTCTGTAAACAATGACTTTTTAAACAAACAACCATGGTTGAGAATTAGAAGCTGTATGTATGCCTACTTGCTTAGCTTAGGTGTAGCCTAAATGCAATGTATGACTACATTTGAAATTGTGAAATTGCTAGACATTAGACAAGTGCCAGACACAGGGAGGGAAACCTCTCACGTGCTCTTGCGTCACTGTTGATTCATTCATGTCTTGTCATGTCATGAAGCGCGAGGACACTGCTGACTCTGCAAATCACGTTTGCTTTGTGCCACAAAAGATGCAGACTTCTCTAAGCTAAGGCCTGGCGTCTCAACTTCTCTTTTGTTGTCATGCAACATGGAATATGGACTGGGCCTATAGGTCGTAGTTGTGCTCTTTTATGTCATGTGCAAATGGCACTTTATCAATATGGTATGTGGTCTAGTCTGGCAAAAGTCCCATCAGTATGTCTCAAATCACAACTGTTCTGGAATACTGTATAAATAGATGGTTGCTCTTGCTCAGTGCAATGATACAATGTAGCAAATAGAGAGATCACATTTCATCCACTTTCTTTGGGCTTCTTTCCAGAACAGTCACCTGAAACCAAACCCTTCATTATATGTGCTTCACTGAGGAGAATGTTATCTTGAGCTGAGAACAGTTGCCTCTTGTGTTGATTAAAAACGTAGATGTCAGTAGCCCTTCGAGTTGATTTAACCAACTGTATATGTTATCGGACTTCGCAATGTGTGAACGTAACATTTCCACAGATCAAGAGCTAAATTCAGTCAATCAACCAGTTGCTCAATTAGGCATAGTTGAGATATGGAGCTCAAACTGCTACTGTGAGGAAAAGGCCGCATCATCCTTTTGTGAGGCGCTGTGACCACATCCCTAAGTCTATATTCAGTCAGCAAGGAGTACTCACATGCTGGTCATGCTTCTACTGATCAGGCCTATTGGACTATAAAAGTCAGCGGGTGCTCAGGTAGCTAGACACAGACGACTAAGTCACTCATTAACCCCTTTGAGCGTTTGATTGAGTATGCCTGAAGTGCCAGATGGGTGTGGTTTGCACTTTTGGGACTATATTGTTGGTTCCATTGCGCAAGGCAAGCTCAATCAATCAAGCGCAAGTATTTGAAAGGACACATTTATCGTAGGCCTGCATAGCAACGCAGAGCTCTTGAACAGATTGGTTTCTGACTCATCTGTTAGTGTGAGATTCTTGAACAAACTTAATAAACGTTCTCTTGTTCTCCCCCAGATGGGCTGACATGTTCTCCGCAAAGGGTTGCAAAGACTCCCCTGAACACACATTCTCCCACCCATTTGTACAGGTACAGTCTCCCTTCTCCTCATAAAAAACACAGAACATAACTATATAAGCTAAGACCTAAATTAATTACTTGATCTTTATCAACAGTGTTGATGGGAAGGTTCCTGAGTGCTGACATTCTCTTCTGTCTCCACCGTGTCTCTCTCCCTCTGTCTGTCCCCTCTCTCTGTCTGTCCTCTCTCTCTCTCTCTCTCTCTCTCTCTCTCTCTCTCTCTCTCTCTCTCTCTCTCTCTCTCTCTCTCTCTCTCTAGGCCGTAGGGATGTTCCTGGGGGAGCTCAGTTGTCTGGCCGTCTTCCACATGCTGCTTTGTCATGACAGACGAAGACCAGAGCCCAAGATGAACACGGGCCAGAGCTTCAACCCCCTCCTCTTCCTCCCCCCTGCCCTCTGTGACATGACCGCTACCTCCATCATGTATGTCGGTATGTGACCCCAACATCCTGGATATTTATCTTCATTTTGTGTTGCAGAGGGTTCCAGAGTTTTCTGGGAATGCGTCACTCGCTGCTTGAGCCACCATTTAATTCCCTCGCACTTTAGATAATATTTTCATAATTTGACAATTTACACCAAAAAGGGTATTCTTCAAGAACTGCAAGAAAGTCTAAATGATCTATAAAATATTATGGTCAGAGGCACAATTTAAAATTGTATTCCAATTTATGTTCCTGTGAAGTATCTCCCATTTGTTTTAAGGAACTGTAACACAATAACCGAGAAGTCTCCATTTCTGGGTCATCATAGTGAAAGTTTGTGCTGACTGTCTGCAGACCTGTGATCAGTTAGTATTTGCTTTCTTTTGCCTGAAATTAATTGCCAGTTGAACCAATTGAACAGTTCAAAAAGTGCAAACCACGCCCATCTGCCACTCCAGGCAGGCTCATGAAACAATAAATAAACAAAATCCTATTTGAACCAAGGTCTGTCTGTTACCCTCTCTGACTCTATCCTCTCTCCCCAGCCCTGAACATGACGAGTGCCTCCAGCTTCCAGATGCTGCGTGGGGCGGTGATTGTCTTCACAGGCCTGCTGTCGGTGGCCTTCCTGGGGCGCCGCCTGGTGGCCAGTCAGTGGACGGGCATCTTCATCACGATTCTGGGCCTGGTAGTGGTGGGCCTGGCCGACTTCATGAGCGGAAACAAGGACGACTCACACAAACTCAGCGAGGTCATCACTGGTAAGGGAGAGAGAATGGTGGGTTGGCACTTATTGGCAAAGGTAGGGTTCTGATAGAAAATAATCTTTCCCTCCTTCCATACTTGAATTAATCACAGATCTAACTCATGATTGTATATGTGAACGCAAGCTTTCCAAAGCTGTAAGTGGAAGCCTAAGTATTGTTGTCCATTAGTTTACTCCATTTAGGGGAGGGGTGTTAGGGTTAGGGGGAAAAAAATAATATATATATTTACAAAAAAATATATATGTACAGTACCAGTCAAAAGTTTGGACACACCAACTCATTCAGGGGTTTTTCTTTATTTTTACTATTTTCAACACTGTAGAATAATAGTGAAGACATCAAAACTATGAAATAACACATATGTAATCATGTAGTAACCAAAATAATATCCAATTTGGACTCCCAGACCAAAGGACAAATTTCCAACGGTCTAACGTCCATTGCTCGTGTTTCTTGGCCCAAGCAGATCTTTTCTTCTTATTGGTGTCCTTTCTGAGGCTGGTAACTCTAATGAACTTATCCTCTGCAGCAGAGGTAACTCTGGGTCTTCCATTCCTGTGGCGGTCCTCATGAGAGCCAGTTTCATCATAGCGCTTGATGGTTTTTCGACTGCACTTGAAGAAACTTTCAAAGTTCTTGAAATGTTCCGTATTGACTGACCTTCATGTCTTAAAGTAATGGTGGACAGTCGTTTCTCTTTGCTTATTTGAGCTGTTCTTGCCATAATATGGACATGGTCTTTTACCAAATAGGGCTATCTTCTGTATACCCCTTTACCTTGTCACAACACAACTGATTGGCTCAAATGCATTAAGAAGGAAAGAAATTCCACAAATTAACTTTTAAGAAGGCACACCTGTTAATTGAAATGCATTCCAGGTGACTACCTCATGAGGCTGGTTGAGAGAATGCCAAGAGTGTGCAAAGCTGTCATCAAGGCAAAGGGTGGCTATTTGAAGAATCTGAAATATAAAATATATTTGATTTGTTTAACACTTTTTTGGTTACTACATGATTCCATATGTGTTATTTCATAGGTTTGATGTCTTCACTATTATTCAACAATGTAAAAAATAAAGAAAAACCCTTGAATGAGTAGGTGTGTCAAAATATTTGACTGGTGATATACAGTTGAAGTCGGAAGTTTACATACACCTTAGCCAAATACATTTTTCACAATTCCTGACTTTTAATCCTAGGAAAAATTCCTTGTTTTAGGTCAGTTAGGATCACCACTTTATTTTAAGAATGTGAAATGTCAGAATAATAGTAGAGAGTGATTTATGTCAGCTTTTATTTCTTTCATCACATTCCCACTGGGTCAGAAGTGTACATACACTCAATTAGTATTTGGTAGCATTGCCTTTAAATTGTTTAACTTGGGTCAAACGTTTCGGGTAGCCTTCCACAAGCTTCCCACAATAAGTTGGGTGAATTTTGGCCCATTCCTCCTGACAGAGCTGGTGTAACTGAGTCAGCTTTGTAGGCCTCCTTGCTCTCACACACTTTTTCAGTTCTGCCCACACAATTTTCTATATGATTGAGGTCAGGGCTTTGTGATGGCCACTCCAATACCTTGACTTTGTTGTCCTTAAGCCATTTTGCCACAACTTTGGAAGTATGCTTAGGGTCATTGTCCATTTGGAAGACCCATTTGCGACCAAGCTTTAACTTCCTGACTGATGTCTTGAGATGTTGCTTCAATATATCCACATAATTTTCCTTCCTCATGATGCCATCTATTTTGTGAAGTGCACCAGTCCCTCCTGCAGCAAAGCACCCCACAGCATGATGCTGCCACCCCCGTGCTTCACGGTTATGATGGTGTACTTCGGCTTGGAAGCCTTCCCCTTTTTCATCCAAACATAACGATGGTCATTATGGCCAAACAGTTCTATTTTTGTTTCATCTGACCATAGGACATTTCTCCAAAAAGTACGATCTTTGTCCCTATGTGCAGTTGCAAACCGTAGTCTGGCTTTTTTATGGCGGTTTTGGAGCAGTGGCTTCTTCCTTGCTGAGCGTCCTTTCAGGTTATTTACATTTTAGTCATTTTAGCAGACGCTCTTATCCAGAGCGACTTACAGTTAGTGAGTGCATACATTATTTTCATACTGCCCCCCATGGGAAACGAACCCACAACCCTGGCGTTGCAAGCGCCATGCTCTACCAACTGAGATACAGAGGTTATGTCGATATAGGACTTGTTTTACTGTGGATATAGATGATTTTGTACCTGTTTCCTCCAGCATCTTCACAAGGTCCTTTGCTGTTGTTCTGTGATTGATTTGCACTTTTCGCACCAGAGTACGTTCATCTCTAGGAGACAGAACGCGTCTCCTTCCTGAGCGTTATGACGGCTGCGTGGTCCCATGGTGTTTATACTTGCGTACTATTGTTTGTACAGATGAACGTGGTACCTTCAGGTGTTTGGTCTGACAATTTTTTTCTGAGGTCTTGGCTGATTTCTTTTGATTTTCCCATGATGTCAAGCAAAGAGGCACTGAGTTTGAAGGTAGGCCTTGAAATACATCCACAGGTACACCTCCAATTGACTCAAATGATGTCAATTAGCCTATCAGAAGCTTCTAAAGCCATGATATCATTTTCTGGAACTTTCCAAGCTGTTTAAAGGCACAGTCAACTTAGTGTATGTAAACATCTGACCCACTGGAATTGTGAAATAATCTGTCTGTAAACAATTGTTGGAAAAATTACTTGTGTCATGCACAAAGTAGATGTCCTAACCGACTTGCCAAAACTATAGTTTAACAAGAAATTTGTGGAGGGGTTGAAAAATGAGTTTTAATGACTCCAACCTAAGTGTATGTAAACTTCAGACTTCAACTGTGTGTGTGTGTGTATATATATATATATATATATACACACACACACATACATATATACAGTGGGGGAAACAAGTATTTAGTCAGCCACCAATTGTGCAAGTTCTCCCACTTAAAAAGATGAGAGAGGCCTGTAATTTTCATCATAGGTACACGTCAACTATGACAGACAAAATGAGAAAAAAAATCCAGAAAATCACATTGTAGGATTTTTAATGAATTTATTTGCAAATTATGGTGGAAAATAAGTATTTGGTCAATAACAAAAGTTTCTCAATACTTTGTTATATACCCTTTGTTGGCAGTAAGTCTTCACAAGGTTTTCACACACTGTTGCTGGTATTTTGGCCCATTCCTCCATGCAGATCTCCTCTAGAGCAGTGATGTTTTGGGGCTGTCGCTGGGCAACACGGACTTTCAACTCCCTCCAAAGATTTTCTATGGGGTTGAGATCTGGAGACTGGCTAGGCCACTCCAGGACCTTGAAATGCTTCTTACGAAGCCACTCCTTCGTTGCCCGGGCGGTGTGTTTGGGATCATTGTCATGCTGAAAGACCCAGCCACGTTTCATCTTCAATGCCCTTGCTGATGGAAGGAGGTTTTCACTCAAAATCTCACGATACATGGCCCCATTCATTCTTTCCTTTACACGGATCAGTCGTCCTGGTCCCTTTGCAGAAAAACAGCCCCAAAGCATGATGTTTCCACCCCCATGCTTCACAGTAGGTATGGTGTTCTTTGGATGCAACTCAGCATTCTTTGTCCTCCAAACACGACGAGTTGAGTTTTTACCAAAAAGTTCTATTTTGGTTTCATCTGACCATATGACATTCTCCCAATCCTCTTCTGGATCATCCAAATACACTCTAGCAAACTTCAGACGGGCCTGGACATGTACTGGCTTAAGCAGGGGGACACGTCTGGCACTGCAGGATTTGAGTCCCTGGCGGCGTAGTGTGTTACTGATGGTAGGCTTTGTTACTTTGGTCCCAGCTCTCTGCGGGTCATTCACTAGGTCCCCCCGTGTGGTTCTGGGATTTTTGCTCACCGTTCTTGTGAACATTTTGACCCCACGGGGTAAGATATTGCGTGGAGGCCCAGATCGAGGGAGATTATCAGTGGTCTTGTATGTCTTCCATTTCCTAATAATTGCTCCCACAGTTGATTTCTTCAAACCAAGCTGGTTACCTATTGCAGATTCAGTCTTCCCAGCCTGGTGCAGGTCTACAATTTTGTTTCTGGTGTCCTTTGACAGCTCTTTGGTCTTGGCCATAGTGGAGTTTGGAGTGTGACTGTTTGAGGTTGTGGACAGGTGTCTTTTATACTGATAACAAGTTCAAACAGGTGCCATTAATACAGGTAACGAGTGGAGGACAGAGGAGCCTCTTAAAGAAGAAGTTA